TCGTTATCTATTGGCAAATGTTTAGCCCCACCACGTCCAGAGTTGATGAATTTTTATTCTCTTTTTTTTGGTCATCATAATTACAAGGCTACTGCATCTCTATAATGCTATCATTGACAATTTGAAACCAAAAAAAATCCTCCATACAACCTTTAAGTCCTTACTCCTGTCTCAGATTTCAGGTGAAGATGCTGCCTCCAGGATGAGCACAGAGCAGAAGGAGACACCCGTGTGGTACCAGCTCACCCTGGAGAAATACAGGAAGGGACTGCAGAAGGCGGGGCTACAGGAGGCGGGGCTACAGGAGGAGGGGCTACAGGAGGAGGGGCTACAGGACAGGAGGAGGGGCTACAGGAGGCGGAGCTACAGGAGGAGGGGCTGGCTTTGCAGGACAGGACTCCCTCCCTCAAAGATGGGGAACAGCCTCATACATGAAACTATTACAAGTTGGCAATACATGCATTCTGAATTTTGGACTTCCGGTCATTGCGCAATGCATACTGGGAAGGATCGTCCGAAAACGTGAGCATCAAATCACCATGTTTGTTTTCCCAGTGGGATGTGTCTATTGTCAAAGCTGATCTTTTGAAGTCTTTTGAACCATATCACTTTTGTTTCTGGTTCTGATATTGTCATATTTTAGTTTTGGGATTCAGACATCATAATTGTGTGATTGTTGGACCCTAACAGTGGAAAATGGGCTTTGGAACTTCGTGAACTCCATAAATGCAAAAGGGAATCAGATGTGTGTGGCTGGAAACCTTCGTTCAAACTGTTTTTCTTCCCAACGAAATTGAAAAATAGAGAAAGGCGAAGGGCAGGATTGATCCACAGGAAGAACCAAAAAGGAAACGTTTGGCTGCCTAAGAAATCTTCCCGAGTTTGCAGCAAACATTTTGTATGTGGAGCGACAACAAAAAAAATTCTGTTTGTTAAGCGAGAGGTGGAGAAGACAAACAGACTGAGCTCGCACTTTCTTGTTCAACTTTACAGCAACATCACGTCTTGGTCTCTTTGCAGTGGAAGGTGTTTCTTGGTGCCTTTCGCTTTGGCGTTGACTTTTTAAATTCATAATCAAGGCTGAGTGAGGGATCGGGGTAATGTTTTGTTGTCGCTCCACATACAAAATGTTCACTGCAAACTCAGGATGATTTCTTAGGCAGTCAAATGTTTCCTTTTTGGTCCTTCCCGTGGATCAGTCCTGCCCATCGCCTTCACCTTTCACTATTTTTCAGTTCCGTTGGGAAGAGAAACAGTTTGAACAGAGGTTTGCAGTCACACACATCTGATTCCCTTTTGCAGTTATGGAGTTTGCAAACTTCCGAAGCCCTTTTCCGCTGTTAGGATCCAACAACCACACAATTACAATGTCCGAATTCCAAAACTAAAATATGACAATATCAAAACCAGAAACAAAAGTGATATGGTTCAAAAGACTTGAAAAGATCGACTTTGACAATAGACGCATCCCACTGGGAAAACAAACATGGAGGTTTGATGTTCACTTTTTCGGAGGATCCTTCCCAGTATGTATTGCGCGATGACCAGAAGTCCGAAATTTGTGATGCATGTATTGTCAATGTCAATATCCTCATTGTGACCAAGTCTACAACTGACAAACATTTTATGTTGACAATATTGAATGATTTGAACATTTGTGTTTCATTCAGATATGATCATATTTTTTATATTTAAAATAGACCCACCAGATTGTGTGTGTGTTTATGTTTCTTATGATTCTCCTTCCAATTATATGAACTATATGAACATAAAAAATCTGATACAAATGTTCAAATGCACAGTAATTCCCCCAAATACCATTTTGCCATTGAGTAATTTCTTGGACCACTACCCACCTCTGATTTTACATGTCCGTCCTTTTCTTTTTGTTTTGCTTTTAAAAATAAATGTTAAATGAATGATTATGAACTGAACTATGTAATGACAGAACAAGGATGATAGAATTATACAACTTATTACTGTCAAAACAATCAAAAAATCGAATAAAGTGACGTATCGTTAAATAAAAATGACACGGTTTGTCTGCTCATCTCTTCAACATTGCCCTCACTAACACTAACCAAGGTAATTTAAAACATCTGTGTCTGTGGCACACACACATCTGTGTGTGCGCTGTGAATGTATTTTATGTAAAGGTGAACCAGATCCTACAGACAGCGGTGATGAGTTTGGTCTGGTTATGGTAGAATCTATTATATTTGCTGTAAACTGTAAAGAAAAACAGCGGTGATGCTGGATCTGATGATTTGACCAGTTGAGCTGCTCTGAGACTTTTGTTTGAGCTTAAGTGCTGCTGGTTTATAATTTGGCTTCTGCTAAATGATGCCTTGAGGACCAATAAGATCAGACCAATAAATCTGGTCTGAGTGAGGACATCATTTGGACATATGTAAATAAGTTTTATGGGGATTTTCAGCAGTTTTCCCAGATAGAACCAGAAGGTATATATATATATATATATATATATATATATATATATATATATATATATATATACATACACACACATATATACTTAAAAAAATTTTTTTATATATATATAAAAATGTGTTTCTCACCTTCCACGGTGGTAGGTCTCTCACCCTCATTCAGCTCGGGTCGTCTACCAAAGGCCTGGGAGCTTGAGAGTTCTGCGCAGTATCTTTGCTGTTCCCAGTACTGCACTTTTCTGGACTGAGATGTCCATTGTTTTTCCCGGTATCTGTTGAAGCCACTCTTCCAGTTTAAGGGGGTTACAGCCCCGAGTGCTCCGATCACCACAGGCACCACTGATGCCTTTACTTTCCAGGCTCTCTCCAGCTCTTCCTTGAGCCCCTGGTATTTCTCTAGCTTCTCGTGTTCCTTTTTCCTGATATTACCATCGCTTGGTATTGCGATGTCCACCACCACGGCTCTGCTCTGTTTCTTATCCACCACCACTATGTCTGGTTGGTTCGCCATCACCATTCTGTCAGTCTGTATCTGGAAGTCCCACAGGATCTTGGCTCGGTCATTCTCCACAACCTTTGGAGGTGTTTCCCATCTTGATCCTGGGGTTTCCATCCCGTACTCTGCACAGATGTTTCTGTACACAATGCCCGCCACTTGGTTATGTCGCTCCATGTATGCTTTCCCTGCCAGCATCTTACACCCTGCAGTTATGTGCTGGACTGTCTCAGGAGCCTCTTTGCACAGTCTACACCGTGGGTCTTGTCTGGTGTGGTAGATCTGGGCCTCTATTGCTCGAGTGCCCAGGGTCTGCTCCTGAGCAGCCAGGATCAGTGCCTCTGTGCTGTCCTTCAGACCAGCCCTCTCAAGCCATTGGTAGGATTTCTTGATATCAGCCACTTCAGTTATGTTCCGGTGGTACGCCCCATGTAGGGGTTTGTCCTGCCATGATGGTCCCTCCAGCTCCTCTTCCTCTGGACCCCACTGTCTGAGACATTCTCTGAGCACCTCATCTGCCGGGGCCTTGTCCTTGATGTACTCAAGGAGCTTGGATGTTTCATCCTGGACAGTGGTTCCCACACTCACTAGTCCTCGGCCCCCTTCCTTCCGGCCTGCGTACAGTCTCAGGGTGCTGGATTTGGGATGGAACCCTCCATGCATGGTCAGGAGTTTTCGTGTCTTAACATCTGTGGTCTGTATCTCCTCCTTTGGCCAGCTTACAATCCCTGCAGGGTATCTGATCACTGGCAGGGCGTAGCTGTTGATTGCCTGCACCTTGTTCTTGCCATTGAGCTGGCTTCTAAGGACTTGCCTCACTCTTTGCAGGTATTTGGCCGTAGCCGCTTTCCTTGTTGCCTCTTCGAGGTTGCCATTTGCTTGTGGGATACCAAGGTACTTGTAACTGTCCTCAACGTCTGCTATTGTTCCCTCTGGGAGTGACACCCCCTCTGTGTGGACTACCTTCCCTCTCTTTGTCACCATCCTGCTACATTTCTCAAGCCCGAATGACATCCCAATGTCTGTACTGTAGATCCTTGTGGTGTGGATCAGTGAGTCGATGTCTCGCTCACTCTTAGCGTACAGCTTGATGTCATCCATGTAGAGGAGGTGACTGATGGTGGCCCCGTTTCTGAGTCGGATAGCCAGTGCGGTCGATTATTTGGCTGAGGGGGTTATATATATATATATATATATATATATATATATATATATATTATATATATATATATATATATATATATATATAAATGTGTTTCTCACCTTCCACGGTGGTAGGTCTCTCTCACCCTCATTCAGCTCGGGTCGTCTACCAGAGGCCTGGGAGCTTGAGAGTTCTGCGCAGTATCTTTGCTGTTCCCAGTACTGCACTTTTCTGGACTGAGTTGTCCGTTGCTTTTCCCGGTATCTGTTGTCGTCTCTTCCAGTTTCAGGGTTACAGCCCCGAGTGTCTGATCACCACAGGCACCACTGTTGCCTTCACTTTCCAGGCTCTCTCCAGCTCCTCCTTGAGCCCCTGGTATTTCTCTAGTTTCTCGTGTTCCTTTTTCCTGATATTACCATCGCTTGGTATTGCGATGTCCACCACCATTCTCCAACACCTCAAAAGGTTGTTGAGAATATATATACATATACATATACATATAAATCATGCTCTGGCTGTGTCAATAAAAGTGTGAGCTAAGCTTCTCTACTGCAGTACCACGGACGACCAGTGGATGGCAGCAACACGCCACCGTGCTATATATATGTGCTATATAAGCTAGTTAGCTAGTTAAGTTAAGTTAGTACTAAAAACTCACTTTATTTTTGATGTGAAAGTGAACATTTTGTCAGTACAATCAGCTGAAGTCTCAGATTGGGCTAAAAGATCCAAACTAAACACGAACAGAAACAACAGTTGGTTTATTTTCAAGTTTGAAGCAGAACAGCAGCAGCGCGCGCGGACCGTTGGACACAAACATTTGACCAACCGCAGCTCTGATCCCCGCCCACGTACCGCCACCGGGACCCGAGGAGCAGAGCCGAGACACCGGTGAAAAAAACAACCAGACATGTCCGCAGGGTGGAGAGCGAGTGTGGAGGAGCGGCTCAGTGCGAGGGCCCAGGACATACGTGCGCTGTTTGAGGACACAGAAGCGGACTTTGAGGAGGAGCTGCGCCGCGTCAAACGGGAGAACCAGCGGTTACAGCGGCTCTTGGACTCGGCTCTGAGCGCCCTGAGCCCGAGGGTCCTGCTCGTCACGGCCGGTCAGTCTAAATATGGATCCTATTTTTTGTCCATGGTTGTTAAAAAAGTGTGAAAAACGCATCTGATGTAGAAAACAGCGCGTTAGAAACGTGCACCGTGGATATAACGGCAGAACCAGAACCAGTACGACTTCAAATATTGACGAAAACATATTTACAACTTCATGGACAGAAAAATTAACCATTAATCCATTTAGTAAACCAGGAAAAATACAAACCATGAGCTCCTTTAGCAGAGGAAACTCGGGAGGTTTAAAGAGCTACTAGATTCTCACAATTAAACCCCACATTAAAATCTTCTGCATAAATAAACTCAACTTTACAACATATAAACCATAACCAATATAGAGCCACATCAGCCCGTTTGATAATATAATTCAGCTCTGATCTCATTTGTTTACATTTTACAGAGACGAAACTAAGGTCTGCATGGCTAATTAGCATAAACTGTTAGCGGCGATAAAAACAGTTCGCTCCTTGTGCCGATGATGTGATTCAGCTTCTTTCGGACTAAAAGACACGACTCAGTGGATTATGTGTGTTCTTTTTGTGACAAAAGAGTCGCTAATGATTGTAAGTCTGTTCTGTGCGTGTATCGTGTTGGAGATAGTTCATGTTTTAGCTTTTCAGCGATCACACGAGTGCAGGTCGTACAAGTGCAGATTGTACATGTGCAGGTTTAGCGCAGCTCTTTATTTTACAGACATTTCACTCATGTATGGTCACTTTATTTATGTTGGTCAATTTATTTATGTTGGTCACTTTATTTATATTGGTCACTTTATTTATGTTGCTACTGTTGAGGTGAAAAGACTGGAAAGTGTTTGTCGTTTGGACACTTGCGCACTCAACTTTATGTTGCAGTAACCGGGATACTGCTTTTACATGCCACAGTATCCCGGTTACTATCAGAATATACCAGCTACAGTATCCCGGTTTCTAATAACCGAGATACTGCCATAACCGGGATACTGCGTTTTACATAACCGGAATAATGATGTGCATGTGTACGCACTCAATGTTCGTGCCACAAGACTGCATGTGTATATATAAGTGTGTATTCTCTTGTCTCCTGCAGCTGTCCAGCCCCCCTCTCTGAGCCCTGATGTGACTCCAAACATTAAACAAGAACAAAACATCAGACAGGAGGAGGAACAGCTGCAAGTGTGAGTCTCAGACACTTTCAAACTGCAATTTTTTATTTGGTTATTCTTTGATTCTTATTCATTTCTATTACAAATATTCAGATTGGGTCTAAAATATACAAATGTGTCTTATTTTTTCAGGTCTGTGCCAGAGTTTGGTGCTGTGAGTGTGAAGACAGAAGAGTCGTCGCAGCTTCAACAAAGAGAAACTGAGCAGAGAGAGGACGTCAAAGCAGAGCCACATGTCCACAGTGAGGACGCACAGAAGGAGGACATCAGACCAGAGACTGAAGGAGAGACTGAAGGAGAGACTGAAGGAGAGACTGAAGGAGAGACTGAAGGAGAGACTGAAGGAGAGACAGAGCACTCTTCTGACACTGACAGTGATGAAGACTGGAGAGCTCCACCCAGCCGTTCACACATGGACACAGGGTCTGACGAAGACGAGTCTGCGCCAGAGACCAGAGCCACCGTGAATACTGGAGACACGACAGGAACCGGAGAAGGAGCTGAGGGCAAGAAACACAAGTGTTCTGTTTGTAAAGAGAGATTTGGGTCTAAATATAAACTACAAATACACCGCAGAGTTCACACAGGAGAGGAACCTTTCAGCTGTTCAGTCTGTAAGAAAGAGTTTACTGTAAAACTTAGTCTCACACTGCATATGAGGACACACACAGGGGAGAAACCGTTCAGCTGTTCAGTCTGTAAAAAAGTGTGAAAAACGCATCTGATGTAGAAAACAGCGCGTTAGAAACGTGCACCGTGGATATAACGGCAGAACCAGAACCAGTACGACTTCAAATATTGACGAAAACATATTTACAACTTCATGGACAGAAAAATTAACCATTAATCCATTTAGTAAACCAGGAAAAATACAAACCATGAGCTCCTTTAGCAGAGGAAACTCGGGAGGTTTAAAGAGCTACTAGATTCTCACAATTAAACCCCACATTAAAATCTTCTGCATAAATAAACTCAACTTTACAACATATAAACCATAACCAATATAGAGCCACATCAGCCCGTTTGATAATATAATTCAGCTCTGATCTCAATTGTTTACATTTTACAGAGACGAAACTAAGGTCTGCATGGCTAATTAGCATAAACTGTTAGCGGCGATAAAAACAGTTCGCTCCTTGTGCCGATGATGTGATTCAGCTTCTTTCGGACTAAAAGACACGACTCGGTGGATTATGTGTGTTCTTTTTGTGACAGAAGAGTCGCTAATGATTGTAAGTCTGTTCTGTGCGTGTATCGTGTTGGAGATAGTTCATGTTTTAGCTTTTCAGCGATCACACGAGTGCAGGTCGTACAAGTGCAGATTGTACATGTGCAGGTTTAGCGCAGCTCTTTATTTTACAGACATTTCACTCATGTATGGTCACTTTATTTATGTTGGTCAATTTATTTATGTTGGTCACTTTATTTATATTGGTCACTTTATTTATGTTGCTACTGTTGAGGTGAAAAGACTGGAAAGTGTTTGTCGTTTGGACACTTGCGCACTCAACTTTATGTTGCAGTAACCGGGATACTGCTTTTACATGCCACAGTATCCCGGTTACTATCAGAATAAACCAGCTACAGTATCCCGGTTTCTAATAACCGAGATACTGCCATAACCGGGATACTGCGTTTTACATAACCGGAATAATGATGTGCATGTGTACGCACTCAATGTTCGTGCCACAAGACTGCATGTGTATATATAAGTGTGTATTCTCTTGTCTCCTGCAGCTGTCCAGCCCCCCTCTCTGAGCCCTGATGTGACTCCAAACATTAAACAAGAACAAAACATCAGACAGGAGGAGGAACAGCTGCAAGTGTGAGTCTCAGACACTTTCAAACTGCAATTTTTTATTTGGTTATTCTTTGATTCTTATTCATTTCTATTACAAATATTCAGATTGGGTCTAAAATATACAAATGTGTCTTATTTTTCAGGTCTGTGCCAGAGTTTGGTGCTGTGAGTGTGAAGACAGAAGAGTCGTCGCAGCTTCAACAAAGAGAAACTGAGCAGAGAGAGGACGTCAAAGCAGAGCCACATGTCCACAGTGAGGACGCACAGAAGGAGGACATCAGACCAGAGACTGAAGGAGAGACTGAAGGAGAGACTGAAGGAGAGACTGAAGGAGAGACTGAAGAGAGACAGAGCACTCTTCTGACACTGACAGTGATGAAGACTGGAGAGCTCCACCCAGCCGTTCACACATGGACACAGGGTCTGACGAAGACGAGTCTGCGCCAGAGACCAGAGCCACCGTGAATACTGGAGACACGACAGGAACCGGAGAAGGAGCTGAGGGCAAGAAACACAAGTGTTCTGTTTGTAAAGAGAGATTTGGGTCTAAATATAAACTACAAATACACCGCAGAGTTCACACAGGAGAGGAACCTTTCAGCTGTTCAGTCTGTAAGAAAGAGTTTACTGTAAAACTTAGTCTCACACTGCATATGAGGACACACACAGGGGGAGAAACCGTTCAGCTGTTCAGTCTGTAAAAAAGTGTGAAAAAACGCATCTGATGTAGAAAACAGCGCGTTAGAAACGTGCACCGTGGATATAACGGCAGAACCAGAACCAGTACGACTTCAAATATTGACGAAAACATATTTACAACTTCATGGACAGAAAAATTAACCATTAATCCATTTAGTAAACCAGGAAAAATACAAACCATGAGCTCCTTTAGCAGAGGAAACTCGGGAGGTTTAAAGAGCTACTAGATTCTCACAATTAAACCCCACATTAAAATCTTCTGCATAAATAAACTCAACTTTACAACATATAAACCATAACCAATATAGAGCCACATCAGCCCGTTTGATAATATAATTCAGCTCTGATCTCATTTGTTTACATTTTACAGAGACGAAACTAAGGTCTGCATGGCTAATTAGCATAAAACTGTTAGCGGCGATAAAAACAGTTCGCTCCTTGTGCCGATGATGTGATTCAGCTTCTTTCGGACTAAAAGACACGACTCGGTGGATTATGTGTGTTCTTTTTGTGACAAAGAGTCGCTAATGATTGTAAGTCTGTTCTGTGCGTGTATCGTGTTGGAGATAGTTCATGTTTTAGCTTTTCAGCGATCACACGAGTGCAGGTCGTACAAGTGCAGATTGTACATGTGCAGGTTTAGCGCAGCTCTTTATTTTACAGACATTTCACTCATGTATGGTCACTTTATTTATGTTGGTCAATTTATTTATGTTGGTCACTTTATTTATATTGGTCACTTTATTTATGTTGCTACTGTTGAGGTGAAAAGGACTGGAAAGTGTTTGTCGTTTGGACACTTGCGCACTCAACTTTATGTTGCAGTAACCGGGATACTGCTTTTACATGCCACAGTATCCCGGTTACTATCAGAATAAACCAGCTACAGTATCCCGGTTTCTAATAACCGAGATACTGCCATAACCGGGATACTGCGTTTTACATAACCGGAATAATGATGTGCATGTGTACGCACTCAATGTTCGTGCCACAAGACTGCATGTGTATATATAAGTGTGTGTATTCTCTTGTCTCCTGCAGCTGTCCAGCCCCCCTCTCTGAGCCCTGATGTGACTCCAAACATTAAACAAGAACAAAACATCAGACAGGAGGAGGAACAGCTGCAAGTGTGAGTCTCAGACACTTTCAAACTGCAATTTTTTATTTGGTTATTCTTTGATTCTTATTCATTTCTATTACAAATATTCAGATTGGGTCTAAAATATACAAATGTGTCTTATTTTTCAGGTCTGTGCCAGAGTTTGGTGCTGTGAGTGTGAAGACAGAAGAGTCGTCGCAGCTTCAACAAAGAGAAACTGAGCAGAGAGAGGACGTCAAAGCAGAGCCACATGTCCACAGTGAGGGACGCACAGAAGGAGGACATCAGACCAGAGACTGAAGGAGAGACTGAAGGAGAGACTGAAGGAGAGACTGAAGGAGAGACTGAAGGAGAGACTGAAGGAGAGACTGAAGGAGAGACTGAAGGAGAGACAGAGCACTCTTCTGACACTGACAGTGATGAAGACTGGAGAGCTCCACCCAGCCGTTCACACATGGACACAGGGTCTGACGAAGACGAGTCTGCGCCAGAGACCAGAGCCACCGTGAACACTGGAGACACGACAGGAACCGGAGAAGGAGCTGAGGGCAAGAAACACAAGTGTTCTGTTTGTAAAGAGAGATTTGGGTCTAAATATAAACTACAAATACACCGCAGAGTTCACACAGGAGAGGAACCTTTCAGCTGTTCAGTCTGTAAGAAAGAGTTTACTGTAAAACTTAGTCTCACACTGCATATGAGGACACACACAGGGGAGAAACCGTTTGGCTGTTCAGTCTGTAAGAAAGAGTTTGCTACAAAATGTAATCTCAAAACACACATGAGGACACACACAGGGGAGAAACCGTTCAGCTGTTCAGTCTGTAAAAAAGTGTGAAAAACGCATCTGATGTAGAAAACAGCGCGTTTAGAAACGTGCACCGTGAATAACGGCAGAAGACCAGTACGACTTCAGATATTGACGAAAAACATATTTACAACTTCATGGACAGAAAAATTTACTTAAATCCATTTAGAAACCAGGAAAAATACAAACCATGAGCTCCTTTAGCAGAGGAAACTCGGGAGTTTAAAGAGCTACTAGATTCCCACAATAAACCCCACATTAAATCTTCTGCATAANCGAAGACGAGTCTGCGCCAGAGACCAGAGCCACCGTGAATACTGGAGACACGACAGGAACCGGAGAAGGAGCTGAGGGCAAGAAACACAAGTGTTCTGTTTGTAAAGAGAGATTTGGGTCTAAATATAAACTACAAATACACCGCAGAGTTCACACAGGAGAGGAACCTTTCAGCTGTTCAGTCTGTAAGAAAGAGTTTACTGTAAAACTTAGTCTCACACTGCATATGAGGACACACACAGGGGAGAAACCGTTTGGCTGTTCAGTCTGTAAGAAAGAGTTTGCTACAAAATTTAATCTCAAAACACACATGAGGACACACACAGGGGAGAAACCGTTCGGCTGTTCAGTCTGTAAGAAAGCGTTTGCTGATAGTTCTAGGTTTAAAAAAACATAAAAGGACACACACAGGGGAGAAACCGTTCAGCTGTTCAGTCTGTAAGAAAGCGTTTGCTGATAGTTCTAGTTTAAAAAAACATAAAAGGACACACACAGGGGAGAAACCGTTTGGCTGTTCAGTCTGTAAGAAAGAGTTTGCTACAAAATGTAATCTCAAAACACACATGAGGACACACACAGGGGAGAAACCGTTCGGCTGTTCAGTCTGTAAGAAAGCGTTTGCTAAAGCCTCTCATCTCAAAACACACGTGAGGACACACACAGGGGAGAAACCGTTTGGCTGTTCAGTCTGTAAAAAAGTGTTTGCTACAAATCCTCTCATCTCAAAACACACATGAGGACACACACAGGGGAGAAACCGTTCAGCTGTTCAGTCTGTAAGAAAGCGTTTGCTAAAAAATGTAATCTCAAAACACACATGAGGACACACACAGGGGAGAAACCGTTCAGCTGTTCAGTCTGTAACAAAGCGTTTGCTGATAGTTCTAGTTTAAAAAAACATAAAAGGACACACACAGGGGAGAAACCGTTCAGCTGTTCAGTCTGTAACAAAGCGTTTGCTGATAGTTCTAGTTTAAAAAAACATAAAAGGACACACACAGGGGAGAAACCGTTCAGCTGTTCAGTCTGTAAAAAAGTGTTTGCTACATCCTCTCATCTCAAAACACACATGAGGACACACACAGGGGAGAAACCGTTCGGCTGTTCAGTCTGTAAAAAAGTGTTTGCTACATCCTCTCATCTCAAAACACACATGAGGACACACACAGGGGAGATACCATTCGGCTGTTCAGTCTGTAACAAAGCGTTTTCTCATAAATCGACTCTCAGACTGCATTTGAGGACACACAACAGACCGCATTTATAAATTGTCACAGCTCACGCTCTAGCCGCCGCGTTCCAAACAGGAAGTTCCCGTGCGGCTCGTCCGGCTCCTGCTGACCCCGGCTCCTGTTGATTTACGTTGGAATATTGGGGCCCCTGTCTCTGTACCTGCTGCTGTGAGCCTCATGATTTTGGTTTTAAAAAGTTCATATTAAGCCGCTTTACATGATTCTGCTGGTTTTCCACTATTTTGTTCATTAAAAAAAATCTAGATCCTGGCTTCAAATAATTTAACTTTGCTTTTTATTCATTGCAGTTTGTGTTTTTGCCACTTTATTTTACATTTTTAAGTTTTTGGAGTTAGGTTAGTGGCATGAATTAGTTTAAGTATTAGTTTATTGTCTATATTTTCTTCAAAAATATATTGTATTTTGAAATGTGTAATCCTGTTCATCTGTTCTGTTCATATTCTCTGTTACAAATCACATTTGTTGAATCACCTAATTGTTATTTTTTGTCTCCAAATTTGACTTCAATCTGTTTTTTTTAAAATTTATGTATGTAAATTGAATCTGTACATATGTAAGAAATAATAAACCTAATCAGTTCACCGGTGGTACCTTCTCTACAAGTGTTTTTCTACTAAACCTAATAAAAAAACAAAACAAAAAACCTGTTACTAAAAGGAAACGTGTCAAGTTTGATTCTAAATGATAATTGTTCATTACTGGACTTCCAACGATTTAAACACATTTGTACATGACATGTTTTGTATTATATGTTAGTAGTTAAAGGGCCCATCTCATGCAAAATAACTTTTCACATTGTATCTTCTGCACATAAACAAGCACAATTTGGGTTTTGGAACATCCATTACACAATAGTTATGAAATGTTACTGATTTCTTGGAGGCATCACAGACCAGGAACTATGAAAGTCCGACTATTGCTCATCCCCCCGCCACTGTTGGGCAAGTTACTTTAAAACTGTAATGCGTTATTTATTACTTAATACTGTCATTTGAAAGTAATTTGTTACATTACAATATTACTGCATTTAAAATGTAAGGCATTACATTACTATTGCATTACTTTACGTTACTCTCACCAAAATAACTGCGAAGATGCTGAACTTTTGCGCTGTATATGGACTGAACCAGTACTGAACCAGGACTAAACCCGATCGCTCTTTATGGACCCTGCTGCTCGGGCTCGCGGCCCTGATTTCAGCAACTATTTGCAGGTACAAGACTCTGTTACAGCGCGTAACTTCTACCTTCCTTCAGTGTGTCCAGAAGTCCAACTTTTTTGTGCGATGGTTGCATCTTCCTCTGTCTTTTGGGTGCGAGTGCAGGAGCCTTTGTCGGTGCAGAACGTTTCGTCGACGTTGTGGGTTTCGTCAGGGAGAAAACTTGCAACCGTACAGCACTTCAGAATCACACTGCTAGAGACTGAACATGTATTTAAATTTGGCAGCTGAACACATTCTGTACTGCACTGTACAGGAGACAGGAGTCCTTTGGCCAGTCAGGACGCAGCGGGAGGAACGCAATACGCATTCATACACTGTAAAAACAACAGGCTTGCAAAATTGCACAAAAATAATCTACGAAACAGCGAGACCGCGAAAAGTGAACTGCGATAGAGCGAGGGACAAGTGTAAACCAGGTCTAAACCAGAACTGACCCAGGTCTAAACCAGGTCTAAACAGCGTGGAGTTCTTTGTCGGTCCTTTCGCCCGCGGTTACCTGAAGATCTACGGGGGCGCACCTCCGGCGTTTCACCGCTGCTGATATCGAGGTGATTTTAGCGAATTTGTATGAAGAAAAAACACCACTTCAATCCAGGTTAAAAAAACATTGTGACGTTACTCACATTTGTACCGGGTAAAATATGACTATTTTTCCCCCCTGTAATGCCTTACATTACTGCGTTACAGCAAAAAGCAATGCATTACAGTAATTCGTTACTTTTATAACGCGTTACTCCAAACACTGCCCCCCGCCCCAGGTTTTCTGTATCGTTACTCACAAGAAAAAATTTAGTGCATGAATTTGAATGTTTATCTATTTATGCAAGTAAGATTTTTAATTTCAAATTAGGACACTTTTAGAAATGTTTCGGGGATTCAATCTTTGAAGAGCTAATAAGTGCAAAAAATGAAACAAACTACAACTAATGAAAATGGTGAGGGACATGTGGGTGGAGGTGCATCTGAAGACTCTTGTGGAACGAGAAAAAGAGAGGGGTAATACAGGAAGTGCGCCGCTGTGTTTTTAAACTCCATACACCTTTAATAGAATCGAATATTACAGCCCTGGAAATACCGAATATTACTGAAATTAAAGTAAAGAAAAACAGCTGTCAACTTAAACTCCCACTTGAAGGTGGAATAAGAACATTTTGAGCTTTCGAGATGTAGACAAATGAACAGATCAGGATTACTCAAACAAAAAACAATGAAGAATAAGATGGAGGAACTTCAACTAAACCCTCTTTCTGATAATAATAATAAAAAAATCTTTACATCTCATTTTAGGCTTAATTTTTGACATTACAAAGAGCTCAGTTCACAGTCTGGAGTCTCTGAAGCCTGATCTCTAACTTTTTGAGTCTGACTTTAGGCCCACACTGGTCAAAGCTGCAGCTTTTCTCTTGTTTCAGATGTTTCCTCATGGACTTCAAAGCCTTCCCTCCTTCACGGTCACCTGCTTCGTCTCCCGTGTGCGTTCGGTAGTGACCGGAGAGTTCCTGGGACGTTTTAAAGACCTTTCCACACTGGTCACACTCGTACAGTCTGTGCCAGTAGTGAGTTCTCATGTGTCTATTAAAACTTGCTAATTGAGAGAAAGCGTTCCCACACTTGTCACATCTGAACGGTTTCTCTCCTGTGTGGATTCTCCTGTGCGCTTCTAGGGTGCCCAACTGTGAAAATGCCCTGTCACACACATCACATCTGTACGATTTTTCCCCTGTGTGGATCTTCTCATGGTTACGACGAGCAGAGGAGTCGCAGAATGCCTTCCCACAGTGTTCACATTTAAACGGTTTCACTCCTGTGTGGATTCTCAAGTGCAGACGGAGATGACCAGACTCTGTAAATTTCTTCCCACACTGCTCACATTCAAATGGTTTCTCTGCTCTGTGGATTCTCATGTGTCGATAGAAGCTGCTAGAAACTCTAAATTCCTTCCCACACTGGTCACACTCATATGGCTTCTCTCCCGTGTGGATGCCCATGTGTGTTGCTAAGGAGCCCGACTGTGAAAAGGTCTTCTCACAAATGTCACATCTAAACGCTTTTTCCCCTGTGTGGACTCTCATGTGTCGTTTGCAGGAACGAGATTCTGTAAATTTCTTCCCACACTGGTCACAACTGTTCGGTCTTTCCCCCGTGTGAGTTCTGTAGTGTTGTTTCAGTCTGGCAGGTTTTGCATACACTTTTCCACACTGGTCACATGTGTGCGGCATTCTGTTGGTGGATCTTGTATCTCTGCATTAGAACAAAAGAAAGGAAGTGTCAAAATAATTATAATAAATACACATAAAATCACATCTAGTAAATCATTAGGGGTGTAACGATATCCAAGTCTCATGATACGATATTTATTGCGATATTTTCTGGAGGCTAAACAGCTAAAACTGTTAATATGCTACTTTTTCCTCTTAAAATGCCTTAAAAAGACTTAATCCAAAGAATTAAGGCTTAAAAGTGCTTAGAACTGTTATTTCTTCTTGTAGTCTGCACTGAAGTGGAGCAATTTGGTATATGGCTACACATGATTTAGATTCATCAGCTGGTTTCACTTTGTGGAAACCGTCTGACCTCGCAGCAGGATTTAGGATTTGTTCGCTCAACGGTAGGCGGATACTTTTTTTTTTCACTGTTATTTGGTCGTGACGTATGTAATGCGCCAACTCCCGTAGGAAGAAGGGCAATAACATCTTTCCCCTTGATAAAATTCACCAAACATTCTCTTTGTTCCGGCTTTAAATCCTCGATCTCGGGAATCGTCGCCAACACAGAATGTCTGTCTTTGTCTACATCCATCTCGACGCTTTGTTTACTGTTGTGCTGTTCCACAAAAGGGACCCAGACAGGCGCGACGAGTTTGACGTCATGACTTCACAGCTCTTCACTGATTGGCTGGTGTGCGGTCTACAACTTCCGGGGTTTTTTGCGAACTGTCTAGTGTATTCTGATTTCTGACCTAGTCACTGGAGAGAAATGAAATTGAGCAGAGGCACTAGATGGTGCCAGCCTGGTTAACACTCATTTCATCTATCCATGCTTTTACTCATATGGTTTATAATTCACTTCACTTAACATAAACTATGAACTATTTGTAGTTCTTTGCAAAGACTGAAGATTGAAAGCATTACAAGTCCTATATTGTTAATAATAATTACTCATGTCCTAAAACTTCTAATTAATGATTTAAATAAACTTTGTTTATACTGTACATATTTTGCTTCTTGTTTTGTTAACTAATGAGATTTAAAGTTAAGATATCACCGATCTCCCTTTGAATTGTTGAGGTTTATGTTTTTAAATGTGCCTCTACATCCCATTTGTGGAACTTGCTGTAAAAAGTGTTTTTTTTTTTTTTTTTTTTGTGCAAAATACTTTTTGTTATCTGGATACGTGCTTTTAGCTACATAACAACGAGCACTAATCACAAAAAACAGTACACCGATACCTGCTCAGTAACTCACCGTTCAGGAAGATGCGGTTTGGAATCTGAAAAAATCCACCAATTCACAGATTTGTCCCTCACGCTGAGCAGAATCTGAGCCACAGAGACGCGCAGGAGACAAATGACCCCCGAGTCTAAAGGAACACGAGGCCGCACGAGCAGGAAGTAGAACATCAAAATAAAAGCTTTATTTTGATTGATTTTTATTATTAATACTTCAGAACCCCAGATGCAAACAAACACAAAACACAACAAATGCACAGAAAAAAAAGTTCATGTACAAAGGGCCCTGATCAAAGAAACAAATCGAAATCATTCATAAAAGATACAAGAAACCTGGCCTCTTTTCATTCATCAAGTGAATATAATATATATATTATATATATTATATATATATATATATATATATATATATATAT